TTAAAGCTTTCCACCAACCACTGCATTTATTTTGGTTTTATTTGCGCGCAATTCCGAATCGAAAAATTTACTTTTGCTCGCAATAATTCCACGCGTCCGTACAAAATTTGCAATTGGCGAAAGGTGTGTGCACACATAATAAAATGTCAAATGATTACAATCGGAGCTGCCAACTTCGCTGAAACCGGTACATTTTTGGCCCTATACACAGCAACATGTCTCAAACGATCAGAAAAATATTACGATCATCTAACACGCAACGTTCAGTTGAACAGAAGTCCACAGCAACGCGTTCAGAAGGTGCAATCGCAACAGATACTGAGGTGTTTCGCCTTCTGAACGTGCCCAATATTTCAATACATTATTGTGAAATACGTTGCGTGTACTTCGTTTTCTCAACTAAAATTTTTAATGTCCATAGTGTATACAACTGGTTTACCTTACTTTGGCATTGGCCTTTGTTTTAGGAATGTGTTTCTCATTGAATTTAATTTAATTTTGAATTAAAAAGGATGACACCCTCTTTGGCACTTTTATTTTTAAATTTTGCATATTTTGGCACTTTTTTATCCTCAATATGGCACTTCATAGCTAAGTGGAGTTGGCAGCCCTGATTACAATAGTGGTGGCCAAGGCGAATTTATACAAGGTAATGTTCAAGACGAATCAAGGCGAATTTATACAAGGTGGTTTTACAAGGCGAATTTATACAAGGTGGTGTTAACAGAACAAACACAAAAATTACAACAAATTATACGTTCCTTGACAATCGGTACAAAGCAAAATTACAACAAACACATGATTTTGACAAAAGGTAAAAATTCGCCGTGAAATCAGCGGATCCGATAACACTACCCTGTATAGATTCGCCCAAGGCGAATTCATTTTACAACAAACACATCATTTTGACATTAAGACGTACCTCGGCGAAAATCTAAATCCGCCATCAACACCACCTTGTATAAATTCGCCTTGGTATTAATGACATAATAAAGGCGAATTTATACAAGGTGGTGTTGATGGCGAATTTAGATTTTCGCCGCAGTACTTATTAATGTCAAAAATATGTGTTTGTTGTAAACTAGGGGAATTCATTTTACAACAAACTAGGTCTGGGACCATCCGCATATTCGAATATCCGGATATTCATCCGGATTCTCCGTTGACACCGATAAAATCCGGATAGTATGGATATCCGGTTAATATTCATTTGTGCAACTATCCGGATGTCCGGATTTATGAAAATCCGGGTAATATTCGTATTTTAGGATATCCACTAAAAAATTAACCAATCGGTGAACAATATTCGTTTGCGGGGTGGTCGTTACGAAACTACATCTGCTTTTGGGTGGTGGGTTTATTTTTTTCACGCCTGTTAATTAAATTCGTCATTAGGCCTCGGCACACTGGACTGCTCAGTCCGCCTAAAACCGGTTTTGTGTGGATAAGAGGGGGAAGAGAGTTCGAATTTACCTCGCTCATTTCAGTCCGCGAAAATCGCGGATTGACGGTGGACTGACACGCACACATAGACAACGTGTTTTCTATTTCGTTTTGTTTTCATGTGCCATATGCACTAACATATAAACTTCTCATTTTTTAACAAAAAAAAACTTATTCGATAGTAAATTTCAAATATTTTAAAAGTATTCTGAATAGGAACTTATAACTTTTTTACCATCTGCAAAACTGACGAAGTGGCAACCATCTATAGAATGAAGAAATCAACTGACACGGCAAAAAACTAAATTCTGCAGATTTCTGCGCTACGGGCTGCGTAAGCTACGGGTAAGACAAATCGTGTCAGCTGACTTGCAGGCTAACCTAATATTCGCGGCTTGCGTTTTGGTACGCATGCCGTC